GTTGCAAGCTCACTTTGGACTCGTGTTATCATGCACAATTTGAAGGGAATGTTTCCACGGTCATGAAACCCCTCCCCCTCCCCCTCAACAGATTTTTTTTCTATGACTCAACTTCGATTACAGAGTTTTGGACCAGCGGTCGCATTAAAAGAAATGGTTGGCGAAATTATGGCATTTGTCAGCTCTATAGGAGTGGTAGAAACAACCACTCATCTACTTTTCAAATGTCTACAAATTAGTCGACAACATCACTTGAATCTCAGCAAGCGGACACTACTCCACAACCTCATCTAATCGTGGAGCAACTGCCCCCTCCCCTACAGTATCGTCACCACAGTAGAGTTTAACCACCAAATTCGGGATGTATTGGCGTGGTTCCTCTACGCTTAGGACAACAGACCCACAAGAAGTGTTTTTTTTCTGACTCCACTTCGATGCAGAGTTTGGACCACCGATCGCCTTCAAGGAAAGGGTTGGCCAAAATGTGGCCTTTGTCAGCTTTATAAGAGAGTCGGAAACAGCCACTCATCTTCTTTTGAAATGTCGTGTCTCAGCGTGCCTTTGGGGTTTGCTCAGAGACCGAGTTGGCCCAATTCACATGGACATTGAGTTTTAGCACATTTTTCTCTCGACACGCATTATTCATGCCTATGTGTTGGCAGTTATGGAACGAAAGAAATCTACGGGTTATCAGGAATCATTCATCCTTGGCAGTTATGGAATATAAGAAATATGCAATTTCCTAGGAAAGGAACACCACACTACAGCAGCAGCAACTCCTACTGTGTTCTCTTAATTCTATCTGCAAAATTTCCACTCATATAGTCTCTGTAGTTGGGCTAATATTTGGCCCCTTTGTTATGCGATTCTCTGTCAGGATGTATTTCCCTTACTTCTTCGTATTTTTCTCAGGTGATCAAAGGATAGGATTGTGGCATTGCAAGCCGGTATGACCGCGACGCCTGAACCGAACTGAACTGAATTCAGCTTGTAACACTATCAAACAGTCAGTCAGTCGCAAACTGGTACAATGTCTGTCTCTTTCTCCCGGTGAACGGACGCGGGAGAAAGGGAGAGGCAGCCTCCGTCCTGCCCAATTCCATACAGTTCTCGGATAGTTATACAAGCAGCTCATTTTCTGCATTCTTCGGCGGAACACAGTATAGTCACTACAGTAGAGTTAAAAAAAGGTTTGGTTATGCAACAAGCATACACGACCGATGCCATGTAATTTAACGACCAAAATAAAATCAAGTTTGGTTCAAAGGTACGAGGTATTTGCACAGAGACGACATGGAGATGCTGCAAAGGAACCAATGTCTGCACAAAGAGGCAGGGCATGAACGGGTGCGAGTGTGCTGTGTATGGACCGGCCCTGAAGGTCGTTGCTAAACGGGAAGGATCCGTAGCTCGTCAGGCCCGCAGGTGCAGGATTATTATTGGTTGCTAAAATCTCTACTATTAAAGAGGGATCGAACGTCGTGATGGTTCGACCTCCTCCTTCCCTCCTCCTCTCGATAGATCCCACACAATCCACGTTGAGAACCAACCAGCCTTCCACTACGATAAAAAGAAAATGAAAAACAACCTCCGTAGAAAAAGCACCCACGAGGCCACAACCAGGCACACACGTTCCCTGCCGCGAACTCTCGTCACCAAACCCATCGCTCCTCCCATCCCATCTCTCGCGAGAAAAATCCCCTACCGCCATCCAGATCGGTGATCACCTCAGGTCTCCTCCACCATTCGCCCGCCTCCCCCCAAGGCCGTGGCCTGACTCATCCTCCCCTTTGCTCATCGCACTAGCGCAGGTGCTCACGCCTTCCTAGCGCTCAAGCGCCGCCCACGGGTAAACGATGGCTTCAGCCGCGTCAACGAGGTCGAGGTGTCCCTGACCCAGCCCTTACCCTCACCTTCATCGGAGGCCTTGCCCGTCTTGATAGGGTCGGTTACTCTTTCCCTCCCCTGTCCTGCCCTCCCCTGGAGGCGGCGACACACTCCTCTCATCTATCTCCAGGGGATGCCCTGCCCTCCCCTGGCGTGCTAGGGACCGATGACCGTGGGGAATGTGATCTGGTGGCGCCTGTCGAACATCGAGAGGTGGCAGAGCCCCGCCACACACTTGTCCCCCCTCCCTCCTCAGGATCCTCAATTTCTCATCTAAAAGGTTATGTCTGTGTGCGCCATGCCTATGGTTTCATTCCTGAATTAATCTTATCTTGAAGTGTGGTGATCTTGCATGTCTGTTTGTGTTCTCAAGGCATTCAACCTTTGCTTTCACTTCTTGTGCAGGTTTATGTGGATGGAACTACCACCATATCCACCCATCCTTTTGGTTTGGTCCTGTGATGCTGACGCACATTGTCTTTCATGATCCTATTATCTGCCTTTTAGTTTTGACTTGTGATGCTGACGCACGTTTTCTTTCTACAACTGTGATATTTCCCTCCTTCGTGGATGTATGCAACTGCATGAATGGGACAACGAAGCCGCTGTCATGAAAACTGTAGAGTGATGACAGAGATACCGAGGTGTGAAATAAAAGGCAAATGTGAAGCTCTTGCATCAATCCTCAAACTAATTCCTGCAAATTTTCCTACAGAACTACAACATGGTAGTCTTGAAGTAAATACTATTTCTGTTATTTTCTATGTGTTTTTAGCACAATAGATAGTTAATATTGTTTTTACTCTTCAAGTTCAAGATGAGGTCGACCAATTAAGAAAACAGTTTGGTGAGATAGAGTGGCAGGTTTGCTAGAATCACTGTAGCTTCTTCTGGGACGTTTTTCTTTTTTGAGGAAACTATTTTGTTTACACCATCCTATTGGCATGTCTATGGCATCAGTGAAACTTAAACGAACACTTCTAGGCTAGATATTATTAAGGTGTACATACATTGACCCTTTACATGGATCTTGCCATATTTATTTGCCAGTCATTTGAGCTATTTGAGAAACTTGAAGGCAAGCTCAAGGAAATACATCATTACCTTTTAGTTTATTTTTTAGTTGTTGGAATCAATCTGGAAAACATCATCCTATTGTAGATACAATATTTACTGGTTTATAGTCTTATACTCTGTTTGACATTACACATTACGGAAATAGTGAGATTATGCTTATGCCACTGTGCTGACAGAGATTGGCTTATTAATATTATGGAGAGGACAAGATCGAAAAGGACGGTGATATAAGGAAAACGGGGAGTGGAAGAGGAAGAAAGTTGGGATGACAATTATAAATAGGTTAGTACTTCGAATCTTTATGCACTGAGGTATTCTTTGTGGTAGAAATAAGTGTTTTAATAGGCTCATGATTTTGGTGAAACAGTATGATCTATGTGTGTTCCTTCACATGGAAAAATATGAAAGGGTACCCATTATAAAATCATAGACCAGCAGTGATGTATCATTTCTTTGTCTTTCATATTGCAAATATGGCTCACATGGCCGCACTCTGCAGAATATCGAGTTTGATGATGATGATAATTGGAACCAAGAGGAGGAAGCAGGTAAGTTTCATTTGATTTTCTGTTCATATGGCGGCTAATGTGACCAGATATGTAAGTCTGGATTGGTTTACTTTCTTGTAGGTTCTACACTTACAGTTTTTAGTACTTGCTTCTTGTTGCCTCTCAGTGTATCACTAAATAATCAGTGTTTTGGGTACTTGCTTCCTGTTGCCTCCCAGTGTATCACTAAATAATCAGTTGACCAGTGTTGGCAATGGTGCATCGATCCTATTTAGTTCTGGTTCTGTATGCCTTCCCAGATACAACTTATACCCAAAAATATTAGCATACACATTGATATTAGTTGTGGGAGACTCGGCTATGCCGGCAATGCCTCCAATGTGGTGGTGGTCATGGTGGACGCCACCATGTGCACTTCAGCTCATCCGGGTGTAGCCGGAGTGATTTCCTTCGCAGTTCAAGTCCGGGCAGTTTTTTATGTGCATGTAATCCCGTTTTGCTTGGTCCCTAGCATTATTAATTTTATTTTTCTACCAATAACAACCAAGTAATGTGTGCATGTCCATGTCTTAGTGTAATTCTCGGTTAGTTAGATCTTACCGATGCATGTGCTTCGTGGGATGCCACGAATCCAGTGCAAGCAGCGTCGCAGTGGCTGGGTTCAGGTGGACATGGGATGGTTCACCTGATATACCTACCCACTAGCTATTCTCTCTTTTTCAGTAGTATTTTAAACGACAGTAGTTGACCATATAAATAAGAGGAAAAAACCAGAAAAGGTTGCAAGATTTTTACGCAATGGAAATCATTTGTTTGCGTGCTCGCGTGTGTGTGCAGGCGCGCTTGTTCTTTCATGTCCAAATACTTGTGTAGTGTTGTGAGAGAGATCCAGCAACTTCAGTTTTTGTCATGCAGTTCCTTGAGTCATATACATCTCTTGTGTCCTTTAGATACATCATGTGTACAGGGAGCAAGCGCCACATTGCTACATTTAATGCTTTGGTGTGCTCTCACGCTCCAAGCCATTGTCCCACACTCCAAACTGCATATATTGACTGTGATATGAAATTGTAATTGCTCATAATTTAAATTTTTGACACAAGGCAGGAGCCAAGAATACTAGCTTGCCTGGGAGAAGATATGTAAGAGAGTATATTAGTTTACCTTTTGAGGGAAGAGTATATAATTTAAGAATAAGGCACATCTATGTGACATGGAAGCTCTTAACAATGGTTAGCGTATGGTTGCCAAGTTATTTCTATGGTTCATCTCAAATTGAGCGTCTTGATACTTCATATGAAAATTTGGTTGTAAAAATTTGTTTGCCACAAGACACACTTTTTTGTATGAAAGAAATATGTATAAAATTCCTCGAAGCATTGTCGAAAAGCAGGTTCGTATGTCTGAGTGTCTGACATGCCTTTCTTTTTCAGTTTTTCCTGCCAGAAAGAAAGCAAGTGACTTATTTAATCTCAGAGATATGTCCCTGTTATCAGTTTTGAGGAGTCATTGTTCCAGTCACACAAAATGTTGACAGATGTATCATTTACAATGACCGTTCAATTGTAATTTCAGTGCCATGTCATAAAATTTGAATTCACCACTTCAGCCCCTTCCATAAGGTAGTTCTCTTTCTATGACCTGAAATCACAAAATCCATTGCCTGTGATTTAGTCTTCTATACCAGCATAGCAAATTGGCAATTGTAAATGATTACCTATGGCGGTGAAGTTATGTGTAGCTACAAAATCTTTCTCTGTCAGTCTCAAGGGGGCAACAAGGTCATCCAGTTTGTTCATTCATTCAATTCTTTTTGCTTTGCAGATATTGCATCAAAGGCCGGAAGTGAACCATGCAATACATCAATCTAATATGAGTTATAATCGGCTGACCATGTAGGATGTACCAATTGTAATGTATTACACTCCATATTTCCTTACATTTGTGGCATGAAATTTTTATTCCTCTCATTTGTCCTTTTTTTGTTCTGTCTCTTAAATTGGTGAATTGGAAGTCATGTTGTTTCAGATGCTTAATGTGCAATGAAGCAGATGGTGTTCGGAAATCCAGCATCTGACTCCTGGTTTTGGTCTCAAGACTACAGTAGAACAATGGAGCAAACATGGTTCACTGCAAAATTTACTTAATACAACTACAGTTATAAATTTCTGAGATGAGGAACATAGTTGATCTTCATTAGATCTATTCAATTACCCAGAAAACCCAATTTTTTAATTGTTCTTCGCATTAGGTGCCTAGAGTTTTAAGTGTTTTGCACTTGCACCCTGTAGCCAGCCTTTCTTTATGTGCTATTCAGTCCAACAAAACAAAATGCTAGAGCGAAAGTAAATCTTCGGAAATGAAATCACATATTGTCATGCATGCTCAATGCATATTTCTGAAGTAGAATATTTTATTGTGTTCATATACATTTTTTTATTCCGTGGCAACGCACGGGCACTCAGCTAGTAGTAATAATAGTAATAAAAGACTGTACCCGCGTTACCTCCCCCCGCCAAGCGCCGCCTTCCACTTGGCGGCGACATCCTCCAGCGCCCGGCGCGACGAACCATCCGGCGACCACGCGCGTGCCGCCGCTCGCTGCAGGTCCTCGGCCCGGCGCCTCACGGCGCGCCCACTCTCCCCCTCCATGAGCTCGTTCACGGCGGCCGCAACTTCCTCGCGCGCCACGACGCCGCCGTCCTCTCGCGCTCTCGGTCGCAGCGCCACCCCGAGGGTCCCTTCCAGCAGAGCGGCGTTCATCCTCTGCTCCGCGTAAAGCGGCCACGCGACCATCGGCACGCCGGACGCCGCGCTCTCCAGCGCCGAGTTCCACCCGCAGTGCGACACGAAGATCGCCGTCGCCGGGTGGGACAGGACGCGCACCTGTGGCGCCCAGGCCGGCACGGCGAGCCCCCTGCCCCTGGTCCTCTCCAGGAAGCCCTCGGGAAGCCACGCCAATGGGTCGTCATCGTCGCGGGCCCCGAAGGCACACGTCCGGCCGTCCAGGCTCGGCATCCGCACCACCCAGAGGAACCTCTGTCTGCTTGCCTCTAGCCCCGCGGCGAGCTCGACCGTCTGCTCCGCAGACAGAGCTCCGCCGCTTCCGAACGCGACGTACACCACCGACCTTGTCGGCTGGCTGTCAAGCCACTCTAGGATGGCCGACGCGCCGGTTTCCTCGTCGGAGTTTGACCGGACGAACGGCCCCACGGGGAACGCCGGCGGGAACGCGCCTTGCTCCGCCGCCTGCCTGAACTCTTCCGCCATGGCAGGTTCCATCTCGTAGAAGGTGTTCGTCAAAAAACCGTCGGCACGGCGGTATCGCCGGCCTCCCCGGAGCAGTTGCGCGTAAGCCGGCCCGTTACAGTCGCGATACGGGACCGGAAGGTCTGCGCGGCGCAGCGACAAGCCCCCGGGGATCTCGAGAGGCTCCGGGAGGTCGCGGTACTCGCCAGGGGCCGCGTCGTCGTGGAGCTCCACGACGCGGCGCATCAGGTAGATCATGGTGAGGCTACTGGGGATGAACACGTAGCACGGGACGCCTAGCTCGACCGCGAGGGGCAGCGCCGCGGAGCATAAGAAGTCCGGAACCAGCGCGGCGAGCGGAGTGGTCGAGCCGATGGAGCGGAGAAAGGTGCTGAGGCTGGGGAGGGAGCGATGGATGAGCTCCACGAGCACGCTGCCACGGAGGGCGTCGGCGGGGAGGTCGTCGATCTTGACGGCCGGGAGCGCGACGGTGGAGACGGAGGTAGGGATGCCGCTGGGGAGGGCTTCTGAGTCGGAGAGGCCGCTGAAGGTGACGATCGTGGCCGCGAAGCCGTGGTGCTCCACGAGCCGCCGCGCAAGCTCGGCCAGCGGTATGAGGTGGCCGGCGCCGGGGCTGGCCAGCAGCACGACGTGCGGCCTCGCCGCGGATGGGGCTGGCGCGGAGCCTGCGTTCATGAACGACTCCATTGTCAGTGGCACCGGTTGCAAGATGTGGGCGACCGGTTGCTAATTACAGCACACAAGCATCTTGTGAGCTAGCTAGCTGGCTGGAGGGGTCCGGCCGAATATGTCGCCGGGAGGACGCCCGGTGGTGCAGGGTGGTGGAGTGGGTCCATCTCGCAGGGTGGTGGAGTGGGCTCCCTGGTGGGTGGTCTGCGGCAGTGTGCACTGTGCATCTCGCATGGTGTGGTGTAGGCGGTGCCGCCGGTGTTTCGGGGCCCATCGATCGCTAGCCTAGCTGCGCTGCTCTAATGGCACCGTGGGCGTGGCCGGTTGTTGTACCCTTGTACGTACAACGTCTCGTCACTTCAGCGTCCGATCAACCCGTCTATGTCTTTCCAGTTTCCCAGCAAATTCAGCTGCTCAAACGACAAATATTATGTGATACAGAGGGAGTACTATAGTAGATAAAACGTCATTGCTAAAGTACTTGTGGAAATAATCTCGGACGGGGATGGTGGAGACGTGCGCGACGGCGAGCACCGGAGTTTTTTTGTTTTTTGAGGAAGGCTTTTATGGCTATTTTATTAACTCATAATAAACTTACATTGTTTGCTAAAGCATTCGGAATGAAAACAAGAGGTGTATCCCACCACGCTAGTCAGTGGATTACCCCTCCCAAAACTAGCTAGCTCATGTGCAACCATGTTCGATTCTCTATTACAATGGTCGATAATGACCTTCCCGAAATCTTTAAGCAAGTTACGGCAATCATCAAGAATTGGCGCTGCCACCAAACCATACCCTTCATTTATCCTCAAAGCATCCACGACGATCAAGCTGTCAGACTGGACCAAAATGCTATCACACCCGGGACCGCGTATGAGCATGATACCTTGGTGTATCGTCTCGCCTCGGCTACCGCTACATCAGCCACATGCGACATTTGAGTTACTGCAGCAGCTATAAATCCACCGTTATGGTCCCATACCACCATTCAACAGGAGCCAGAATGATCTTCTTCGGAGAATGAAGCATCCACGTTTAACACTTGCATCTCTGACAATGGTTCCTTCCAAGCATTTTGATGAGGCATTGGGTTTGTTTTCCCGGCCGCTCGGACAAAATTTAACGATAGGGCCTGGATGGCCATAGCTGTGCGGACCGGGTCTTGAACTTGCTCTCCTCTGACTAGCCTCCTTCGCTGCCACTAAAGATACCAGCTAGTAGAAGCTATGACTTCAGTTATATCAACAATATCCATGTACTGACGCTGAAAGATGTCATCGCACAGAAGAGATTCCATCACCCTCGCACCTGATCAGTCAACTGGCAGCGCCTCATCTATGACTTTTTGCAAGCCCAGCTCAGACCATATCAACTTAGCACGGGAACAAGTGAAGAGCGCATGCTTGGTATCTTCCGCCCCCTGCTGACATATAGGGCACTGTCTGCTAGTAGAAATATGTCTGTTTGCGAGTGTACATTTAAATGGGATGGTGTTATGCAGGCATCTCCATACGGAGATTTTAATTTTACCTGGTAGTTTTAATTTCCACAGCCTCTTCCAAACCGGGTGATCCGGTGTACTCGCCTGTCCAACCTCACAACCAATTTTTGGACCATACTGATCTTCCCATACTCTATAAGAACCAGAACGAACACTGTATACTCCATTCTTTGTGTAGTGCCATGCAACAACGTCTTCCACATTATGATGGGATAAAGGGATTTGCAATATATGGTCCACATCTATTCTCCAAAAATTATCTCTGATGATCTGCTCGTCGCAGTCATCTGATATAGGATCTATCAAGTTACTCACATATGATAATAGACAGTTACCTCGTTGGACGGTCGACAGTAGACTAGTCAAGGGTATCCATGTTGTCGGAATGAATATCCGCTGAAGTGAGCCGCCCTTTGCGCTGAAGCGTACACTTCCAGGGCTCATGATTGCCGGACAAGGGGACGACAATGGAGATCTGCCGCGGCCGGCAGTAGACTAGTTAAGAGTATCCATGTCGTCGGAATGGATATCCGTCGCGCCGTCCGTAGACTAGTTTTATCTTAGTTCGGTATCATTTGCAGTTAAAATATGTTCAAAATATAAACGTTTTCGTTTGATTTGTATAAAATCCGTCATGTTTATATGAAATTTGCCATGTTTATATGGAATCCGGCTGTGTTTACATGAATTTTATTCGATTTATTAAAAAAAAGAGTTTGAAATGCATGCACGAAGCGATGGACAGTTATCCATGTTCACGGACTGATCCTTTCTGTACGCGGACAAATGCGAAAGAAAATTTGGAGATTGCTGCCGTTGGAGATGCCGCAATTGCGTGCCCGACGGCGCCGATGATCTGCACCTGCATTCGACCCGTGTTAGACTCTGTATATACTGGGCCCCACTTGTAATTATGTTGTACATGTCTATATAATGAAAAGGTCACCCCACGTTGGAGGTGTTCCACAAACCCTAAAACCCTTGTCTAATATGGTATCAGACCTAACGATCTAATGTCTTCCGCTACGCCTCCGCCACCAGCCGCCGCCGCCGCCTCAAGCGCCGCCGGCACCGCGGTTTCCTCCCCCGCCCTCCTGCCGCCGGCCTCCGTCCACATGGATCACTCGTTCCTCCCGCCGTCTCTCGCGCGTCTCCTCAACGTCGGGACTGCGCCCTACACGGCGGATGGCTCGCTCGGGCCCCTGCAGACTCAATCGGCGGGGTCTCTCTTCGCCGGCCCGGTGTCTTCCCTGTATGCCGGCGTCTCCTCTTCATCGCCTGCTGCTTTGGCCCGGTCCCAGCAACCGTCGCTGCCGTCGGCCGCCGTGCACTCCATTGTGCTCGCGCCGCCGCCCCCTACCGCGTCGCACCAGATGCGTGCGATCGCGCCTGCTCCGGCTGCCGCCATCTACACCGCAGCTGGCCCTACTGTTGCCGATGCCGCCCATGCCAATCACGGCGGCTACCCACTGTACGCGGCGCCGTACGGCCAGTTGCCACACGCGCGTCCCTCCTACGGGGCGTATCCTGGCCAGGGCGCGTACCCGGCTCCGCCGCCCTATGGGGCGCCCTACCCGTACGGCCCCTCGCACCTGTACGCACCGGCTGCGGCGCCATCTGCACCACCAGTGATCTCCCCGACGCCATACGTGGATGCCGAAGCTGCTCTGGCCGCGATTTCCTCGCCGCCGTTTTTGTTCTCGCACCTCCTACCGGTGAAGCTTAAACCGGACAACTATCTATATTGGCGTGCTCAGGTGCTTCCTCTCCTTCGCAGCCATTACTTGGAAGGGTTCGTCAACGGTACACTGTCGTGTCCACCGCCACATCATCCGATGTTCCGTGCGTGGATCGCTCAGGACCAAGCCATCCTCTCAGCTATCCAGTCCTCCCTTGGTGAGGGTGTGGCCGGGCTAGTCCTCTTTGCTTCGTCCTCTCATGAGGTGTGGGACATCCTGGAGTCGAGTTTCTCGTCTCAGTCTACTGCTCAATCCATGGCCATCCGTGCCAAGCTTGGTGAAACTCGCAAGGACAATGGTACGGTGACCACCTTGTACAACAAGATCAAGCAGTTGGCTGACACTCTTGCTCCCATTGGAGAGCCCCTTCGCGACAGCAAGTTCACATCCTTCATCCTAGCCGGCCTCGACAGCGACTACGACTCGCTTGCCGAGGTGATTAACGAACGTAAGGAGCCTCTTCGTCCTCAGGAACTCTACAGCCGTCTCCTGGCCACGGAGCAACGGCTCAACGCGCGCCGCCCCGACGTCTCCACCGACTCCTCCGTCAACGCCGTGTACCGCGGCAAAGGCGGTGGCCGTGGCCCCTCTGCATCTTCCTCGGGAGGAGGGGGCAAGTCCGGTGGTGGTGGTGCGCCCTTGACACAACAGCAGCAGGCCCCGCGCTCTGGCGCCCCGGTGGTTGTCGTTGATGGCCGTGCCTGTGCCTGCTGTACCACCTGTGGTGCGGCTCAGCCATGCCAGCTCTGTGGTCTGCCTCGCCATGTTGCCTCTCGCTGTCATCGCCGGTTCAAGACGGACTTCCTTGGCCTCGGCAATAATGGCAAGGGCAACGAGCGTCAAGTCAACATGGCACAACAGGGTCACACCCCTTCTTATCCTGTCGATCCTTCTTGGTACATGGATACTGGAGCAACCACGCACGTCACGAACGAGCTGGGCAAGCTAACTATCCAGCAACCTTACCGCGGGCATGACAAGGTTCACACAGCTAACGGGGCAGGTATGCGCATTTCACATGTTGGTCAGGCATCACTTCTCACAAACACCTCTAGGACATTGCATCTTAGAAATGTTCTTCGTGTTCCCACAGTTGCACGTAATTTACTCTCTGTTCCTAAACTTACACAGGATAATAATGTTTTCTGTGAATTTCACCCGTTTCATCTCTTTGTTAAGGATCGTGCTACGAGGAACATTCTTCTTAGAGGTCGCTACCGCCATGGTCTATATGCGCTTGATGCTCCCACCGATGTTCCCGCTCCTGCTGCTGCGTTCCAAGTCTTCAGTGGCGTCCGTGTGTCTCCCTCACTATGGCACTCTCGTCTTGGTCAGCCAGCATCTCCCATTGTTCGCCATGTCCTCCATTGTCATGAGCTACCGTCCGAGTCTAGTAATAAAGATGCCGCTGTCTGTGATGCTTGCCAGCAGGGCAAGAGTCATCAGTTACCTTTTTGTATTTCTACACATATAGTCAAAACTCCTCTTGAGCTTGTGTTTTCAGATGTATGGGGTCCTGCCCAGCTGTCCGTTAGTGGGCACGAATATTATGTCAGTTTCATTGATGCTTATAGTCGCTTTACCTGGATTTATCTTCTTAAGCATAAGTCTGATGTGTTTAATGTGCTTTTACAATTTCAAGCACATGTTGAGAGACTCCTAGATCATAAAATCATTCATGTACAGTCAGACTGGGGGGGGGTGAATACCGCAACCTCAGTGCCTTCTTTGAAAAACTAGGAATTGCTCATCGTGTTTCCTGCCCACATACAGATCAG